TAAAAGAAATCTCGGAAGACTTAGAAAACGCTACCATTTTATAACCTATACTATAATAAGACACTAAATTTAAAAATCCCATAACTGGTGGAAGGGTGTCGCGCTTTATCGTGGATAAACCGAATCATGTACGAGAAAACGACAGGACTTACTTGCAAATCTCTTTTTATCGAATATCCCCCACATGATATAAAACGTATAAAATATAATAACATTCCTCTCCATTGCGCCGAAAAAATACTTTGACGTAAAGAAAACGTGTTTTAACTAATCGAAATAAAAAAGAAAGAAAGATACATCGAGATTTTAATATTATGATAAAGCATATGAAAACTTTCGTTAAATTGCCTGATAAACTTTTAAATTAAATAACTAGCTTTGTAATAAATCATTTTGCAGAGTATATAATTCATGTATATTATTATAACAAGCTATTTACAATTATTATATTAACTCTTTACCTTAATTTTGTATGCATTTAAACGAAAATAAAATTAAATGAGTATAAATTACAAACTTAAATACGATATTTAAATAGACTCACAGTCGATTGGTTACTTGATGATGTTTCATGACTTGAAAGCGTTTCAAGTCATAATTCAAGAAATTCTATTAGTTAATTATTAATTTTTAAATTTATCATGAAAAATACTAATATCTTTGTTAGTTTTATTTACTTTTCTATTTATTTTGCAAAAGCAACAATAAAAAAAGAGAAGTAGACGACACCTTAAAAAAAATGTTTCTTTAAGACTACTTTTATTATTGCACGAATCTCATATGTTCCTAAGTACGTGCTTTAAAAATACGACTCGGAGTTAGTAACGCGACAGTTGACAGGACACGTTGTTGGCAGATATTACGTTAGAATAGCACTATATGTGTTTTCAACGCGTTTCAGCAACTCATCGGCATCTTTCATTGAAGTAGTATTGATATACTAAAGTGTCTACTATTTGCGTATAGTAGTAGCAGTAATAATTATACATTATGAATTTTGAATTTAAAAATTAAAAACTATGAAATTTAAAAATTTGAAAACTTGCCGCAAACGATAAAATTAATAACTATAAAACAATTTTTTAAAATAAAAAAACATCATTTAATGACGCAAAAGTACAAGAATAATAGAATAATAGTAGAATATTACGTTGAAATACGTTACACATATTTTATAAAAACGAATTAAATCAATATAAGACTATAAGAGAGAGAAAAATACGTTTAGCAAGTAAAAATTAACAATTATTAATATTTATTGCATTTAAACAACAATGTTCAAATGTAATTCAATTCAGTAAATGCAATTCAATTTAGTAAAATTTTCAGAACTCATTACATCCGCGAAACGAATTCGACGTGATAACGAAAAAGAAAAAGAATCGGCGACGGCGGACAATAAAAAATTTACATTTCCGCTGCTAATTTGACCAAGCAATTTAGCTTAATTCAACAGAAATCAATTTTACTGTGCTACCACACTTTCAAGAATGAAATTGCATTATAGTTGTCGGGAGCAAATCGCCGACGACATGCCGACGAAGATACGTTATATCGAGCTATCGTTTACGGTACATTTACGCTACTTAGCGAACTTCTTAGCCCGAAATCGAAGCCCGAATATCCGGAACATACTCTACATTCACGTCAAACGCCAGAAGAATAATTCAAGTTTCAACGATCGAGATGGAGAGCGGCGAAGGGATGGCCTTTCTTAGTGCACGCAAGCTTAACGCAGAGTGTGCAGTGCACAGAACACACATCGGACTCGAATGCAGACACTGGCGCGGGCGTTGTTGACGCGGTCTCGGAGTTTAACAAAGTTCTTCCGAGTCCTAACGAGCTTACTCTTGACCAGAACCGGTCGAGTATATGGCTTCCGTCTCTCGTAGCAAATGGTTAACCTACATACCCCGCCTCGAGATATTACTTACATCCCGATCGAAACGTATAGCTAGACGCGACTTATTGTCATGCTCGAAGACCATACGCATTCACGCACGCATTGTCGCGGATTCGTAGATACCAGATATCGTATAAATAATTTAATATTCGCTTGATATATATGTTTTTTTTTTTCAAATACTGACAGATTAATACCCTGGTGATAGAAATACATTTAGATTTGCGTAGGCTTTGCGAACATTTACAGTCTTCACGCATTTATAATGCTAAGCACGTAAACTAGCCGCTGGTACATTAAGTATTTGTTTCTTTTAATTGCATAAGTGATCCCGATAATCCGATATCGCTTGACTGCTTGTGCAGTGTCTAAAAATATTCCTTAGGATATTTCCGGCATTTGTGACGCGTAGGGTACACCGCGGGAGAGCGTTCAATTTCATCTCGAACGAGTCTGGCCGGCCAACTACGTATGTATGTATGTAACCCCCGTTCCTCGCTGCCCCGCCGTAATTGAATACTCAATAGGATTTACCAAAGCGGGCCGCGCGGCGCCCGTGCCGCGGCGTGGCGCGGCGTGGGCGAGCCGATCGACAGGACACACGCCAATATTTGATCCGCGTCAAAAGCTCCGAGGCGGATCCACCGACACGGCGGATTTCCAACGGTCGTTAACCCCCGCACTGGCCGCGCTGTCTCGTCGCCGCAGCGGCGTGTGATCCTCTCCCTCTCTGCCTTCCGCTCGGGTAAACTTCCGAAAAGCCGTCATCCCCGATTTGACGGAAATTATCGATTGTATCTTTGTTTACGATAAAAAGCGACGCGTGCGACCTATGGCCGAGAATGGCGACTACCTTTGTCATGTTTTTTTTTTTTTTCGACAGGTTTCAAGTAAATTTTCAAGTGACAGATCTGATTTTGTTGAAAAATGAGTACAGTTAAAAAAAAGACAACCGAGACATGAAAGTATAGAAAGTTGTTTGTTTTTTAAATTAATTATAAGTTTCCATCTTGCTAGAACAAAAGTACGTTCAGAGATATTTTATACGTCGCACCCGTGCACATATAAAAACGTCTCTCCGAAACGTGCCGAAACCAGCATTTAGGCGTTCCCCTGCTCGTCTTTTTGTTCGTGTAACACACCACGTGTGTCTATGTTTAGCCTAACCACTCTCCCTGTTTTGGGTAACGTTCACGCCATGAGACATGAGACAACCAAATCCCACAGGTGCGGTTGCTTTAGGGTGCTCACATCGCGCGGAAGTGCCTTTGAATGGGTAGAACGGCCGTCGACAGCGCGTGAATACGCCCCGTAGGAGACACGTATGAAAGTCGCCAACTATCCACCGGCGCAGAATGCGACCTTTCGGAGGGACAGAATAGCCCGGGTCGTCGCGATCCAGAAGACGAGACAAACCATTTCCCGTCGCCGCGCTACCGTTTCTCACGATTCTTTTACCTTCCTCTGCGTACGAATGAGAATTAAGCCACGGGTTAACCAGCGCGTTGGAAATTGTCCAAGTGATAAACGGCCACCGAGTGGATAGGGTTCTTATCTATGTTATCCTTCTGCGAGTTCACTTTAACCAATTTTTTTCGGCCACTCGAGAAAAACTCGGAAGAAAATGCCTACTTTAAATAAATTTCAAGACTTTCTACGTGGTTCCCGCGAATTTGAATCAAGATTATTTCATCTTGCAGATAACTTTGTGAATATAGTAAATAATTAGATCAAAAGACTTCTTTTCGTATTGTTTTAAATCCGCATCTTTTTAAACAATAAAGATTGAAAAGATGAGAACTTCGTGATTAATTCGCACGCCAGACATATTCGACTTAAGGTCAATTATTCTGCGGTAGAAATTGAAATTAAATGCCATCGATTTCTTAATATTTATTATTAATGTTAAATATATTAAATTATAAAAACCCCGACCATTAAATAAAAATTCTATTAAAATCTGTTTGAAATGAGAGAAGAAGAAAAGATTAAGTTTATTTTTATTTTTATTAAAAAAGAATAATGACTCGACATTGATCAAAGAATACGTTTAGAAATTTTTGCCTGCAACATGGCGATGGAATCATTATGATGGTTTTTTTTTTAGTGACATGGAGAATGATCGCTTGTCATAGGTAATGGTGCGCGATAAATTCGCGGTTGGTTAGCGCGTAAAGTGTGACTATATCGACGCTTCGATTGATTAATTAGATTAATTTTAATTGAACGCCTATGTATATCCTGAAAGGCTGGCTACCGTCAATTTAGTTACTCGATAAATCTATAAAATAGCGTGGCGAAAGTGTGGCTACATTTTATTAAATTCCGTCTCGCAAAAGGTCGCCGTGTGGCATCGCGTCGAGCCAAATTTAGTAATGGATCATTATTGAGTTCTGCAGCGAAGATACGGATATTGAAATTTAGATAATTACTTTTGTCGCCTTTATATACCATACTTATTTCATTTCACGATATACGAATTAATAAAAAAAACGTATTCTATCTGTCTACGACATCAAAATGTATATGAGCCTATAATTTCTATACTTTATATTTCTATACGAATTAAAGGTAGTAATAGTTGGTAAAATGATGAAAATATTTCCTCATTCAGTATAATTTTTCAACTGAAAACGCTAGGTTGGCAAGCATATTAATATTTTGTTGCGAATAGTTCGGTGCTAAAATTGGAGATAGAACAGTAAATTAACTAAATAGCACTTAATTCTACAATAGTTCCCAATTCAATTTGCTGTAGCGAAGGTGATAACTTAACGGAGGTTATCCAGTAGATATTGTGGGACTTACGATAACTAATTGCTGTGAAATATATTATTAATTATCATTCAAAATTTCCCTTTCTTTTTTAAATTGTGAAATTAAAACAGTATTAAAATAGAAATAAATAATGTATATGCTAGCTATGTATACAAATCTACATGTTTCTGGGAACGTAAAAAGGTAAAGAAAAGAGCTTAAAACGAACCATTTAGCCGCGATAGATGGGATTCTGAATGAAAATGGGGATATAAAATGGCTGTTTACACTTGAGCAGACCACTGTAATAGACGAATATTCTTGTTTAAATATTACTCACGATGTTTGAGGTGCAGTCTAGGAATGGGATCCTGCGGCCAAGCCACATTTTGCGCGGCTAAGCTGATCAGAGCCAAAATCCGTAGCGACGCGCTCATCCTGGAAACAAATGGCCCTGCAGGATGTCCGACGAATCAACGGTAACTTTCAAGCCTCATCATCGCCGCCACCGATCGCCATTCCTGCAATCATATAAACAGTGACCTGTAATTCTGTTCATAAAGTTCACACTACAAACCACAATAATAAAGATGTATCCTTACAGTTTCGTGTGTATTATTTTATAAGCAAAATATTTCAAAATTTCTTAATCAATTATAAAGACCACAATTATAATATAATTATAATAAATTACAATTATAATTATAATAAATATAAAAAATTTCAAACAACTGTTTTTATCTTCTACATATTTTTTATTATTATTAAAATCATTGAATAATTAACAATCTAATATTTGTAGACATTACATACTAAATAATTTGAAGAAAGTTCTAATTTTAATATTTCTTTCAAAAATAAGATATTGGTTGTTGACTGCGATTTTTATTCAGAAATTAAAATGTTTTAACCAATTTTGCTCTCCCGACAGTAAAGTCGAAAGTTTTATCTTCTTTTACTACAAAATTAATTGTTCACTAACATTATTGTCGTGCAAACGCCTTAGAATCAGAGAGAATATATCACTAAGAAAATTGGTTTCGCTCGCATATATGCACAGTATGCCGCCGCGCGCGTATACCTATATTCCAAATTGATGTAGGTACGCATGTATTCGTTACGGCGAAGAAAGAAGAACATAAGAAACAAGTCTTTTGCTCCCTTTTTTAGCAGAATTTATATATGCATATCTTCTTGTAGAAGAAAACTACTACTTGGAATAAGTAAGAGAAAGCACGAGGAAGGATAAAAGGCTAACGAAGGAACGAGAGACGACCACCGACTGCAACGACTATGATGAAGAAGACGACGATGTTATGCATTATGCAGAGAGGTCGCTAGCTCGAGTTTCTATTTGTCCTGGGGCCTTGTACTGCCGTCTACTATCTCAAATACGTACAAGATTAAACGTATATAGTATCGAATATGTATAATATCCGCATATATATTTTTTCTTATCAAATAATAGGTACTGCTAATAAATGTTTTTTTTTATTTTAGTGATTGTCAATTACTTTTTCGTTTACTGAGCACAGCTTTATTCATATTTATAAGTAATCCCCTGAATAATACCCTTTATATCTGAGAGTCCTTGTAAGTATCCGAAGCGAAATTATCATTCCATACTATGCGCGAGACTCATTTTTCTCCGACTCCAAAAGTTCAGCAAAAATAAATAGAAACAAGATTCTAATATCCAGTCACCGCGCGCGGCGGTTAAGCCCCAATTTGCTCGCACGGATTTATAAGCAGCGCGAAAGGCATGCGGCAACGTCAATCAAAACCGATAACAGTTGCATCGTGTTGTTAAAGCATTAATTAATCTCGGCCGTGTGATCAATCACATTCCAATGCAGCAATGCGCCGCATTGTTACTCGACATCTGGTAGACGATCATAAATTCATGATCGTTTCGCAGCCGGCAGCTGCGAGCCCGCGCGATCTAATAAAATCAGATCGTGAATCATGTTCGAGCGGAGACGAGAGAAGAATGTTTCGCCGCGCCGTGGATCCGTCGTGTTTGCCGTGATGTTTGCGAGAGCAAGAGCACGCGCCTCGCTAGGCGTGGCTCGCCCTACTTTCGAGAGATACGAGGGACGAGTTGCAGATCGAGAGTCACTTGCCTGCAGCATCTCTCGTCGCAGCGGCAACGGCCGCTTTCCGATTCCACGAGTGTGCCGCGCACCGAAAATGAGAGACTTTCTCTTACATTAGACGAAACTCCATCGCGCGTTTACAAACAACGGGAAAGCTTGCTGCTAAATCGCCGGATGCTCTCTCTCTCGATGCAGGGAAAGATATCTAATTTTTAACGTTCCATATACGCGGATTGTGGATGTGAAAATGCAGAAAGACGACCACGTGATTACAACTCTAATTTCGGAACTTGAGATTATCATATCCATCGTAGAGCAGAAGCGGAATTCTGAGAATATGAATTTGCTTAATTTGTGGGTTATATAAATATCTCTTGATAGAAACGGAGCAGTGATAGAAGAAGACATGCTCTTCATTTCAATAAAAAACAAAAAAGGGAAGATGATACTAATGAATCTTCATTATTATAACCACGCAATATTTTATATTAGAAATATTTTTATATTCTTGAAATTTTAGCGTTACTTTCATATAACTGAAACTGAGATATATAGAGTTGAAAATAATTCAATATTATTGGTAAAAGGCTTATTTATTATTTCATGTAAATAAAGTATCTGTATGTGTAGATGTTCTCAATATTATTTGTAAAAAAAATGAAGTACACTAGTAAATAGCAATACATATTAGTCTGATTTTGTGAGTCGATTATTTCATGATACATTATATATATTGTAAATTAAATATACAAATATATAATTAAATATATATACACACACACACTTCATTTTACTTATCTTCCTTACATCTTCCTTAAAATATATAAATTATTTTAAGCTATTTAATTATTATTGTTCATACTATATTCTTGATCACATATAATTTACCAAGTACCGGATATATGGTAAATGTATCGAACTTTAGCAGGTAGATAATTATTGTAAACAGGCATGAGATATTATAAACATCAGAGTATAACTACCAATTTAGCCAAACATTTATTTACTAAATAATTACGCAAACCTTGTAACGGTACAATTTGTGGTAATTTCTGAGCTTAATCGTACAATTTTTCCTTCATTTTTCTGCTAATTACTAGAAATGACAAACAAAACAGAAGCAAACGCGGAGTTGCAGAACCTTTTAAATGTTTATCATGACATGTCATGAATGGGATGTCAAATTTAACCACCTGCTTTTTAGAAAGAAATAAAAACTAAATAAATAAATAAATAAATGAAAAGAACCATCGAAGATTACGGCAACACTCGAAAAACTGGGCAGAAAGCACACACCTTGAAAGCGAGTGAGAAACGCGCGAAACAGAGAGGAACGGCAAGGAAAAGCAAGCCGGCGCGCGGCGCAGCGCAGCGCGGGGCGTATAGTCTCTCGTGAGTAAAACTTTGACCAACACGCTACAGGAAAGGGAGAACGTGAGCGCTCTACAACTGCTGCTGCTGCTGCTGCTGCTTGCTATTGCTGCTCTGCTGCTGCAGCGGGAGCACGGTCTAATTATCCATGCGCTTTGTGCGTGTACACTAGCTCCAACAAGAGCAATGGCAATGGCACAAATGGCGGTACGAGCGTGATTGCTCGGACCATGTAGATAGTTCTAGCGCGATTGCTCTCCGTTCAACGAGCCAGCTATCAAAGTAAAAACATCGTGTTCGCTAAGCCACTCACCTTCGTCTTGTGAGCGCCATACGCGATTTCCAACTAAAATTCTAACTGAAAATTCGTACTAAAATCCTAAAGGATTCCAGCAGGTTTATCCGTCTGTTTATTTGTTTGTTTATTTGTTTGTTTATTGACGCAACGCAGGCATGTACCTGCACTCGTCATCGTCTATTCTCTTCAAGAGTGCTTGAAACTACCGAACTCGAGCGGCGACATTTCTCATTAAAAACTGAAATAGCTTTTGATTTTATTTTCATTTACGAAAATAATATTTGCAGCAGAAAACATTTAAAAAAAGATTATTTATTATGATTCTTAAGTTATATTAAAATTCTTATGAAAAATTATAATATATTTCGAGTAATGAATTAATAAATATTAATAACAATAATAAATATTGTTGAAAGATGAGCAAAAATTGAATCGAAAATTGAATAATTTTTAAACTATTCTCGATTAAGAGGAAATTTGTCTTGCTCTCCAAAAATGCTTATTTTTACTCGGTATATCTCCTCTCCCATTTCATTTTGGCGTATCTTCATCTTCTTATCTGTTTTCATCTCGTAACTCCGATCTATGTCGCTGCCTAGTCTAGTTCCCTCGATTTTTCCGCTTCCCGTGAATTTTCACGTTCAAAGAAATTGCTACTTCTGATTTGAATGAGTCTTCGGGAAAAGTGGAAAAGTTTCTTTTCACATTCTCGTATTCCACGTTAAAAGGACAGAGAAACATTGAAGTTGCCAGAGCAGAGGAAAATGACCTGAACATACGATGTCGGATGCAGATAATAATCTACATAAAGTTAATTTTCGCGTGACTTCAGGATTTCAAGATACAGTTAGATTCTGTTAAATTCATATTAGTATTTGATATTCCACTAAATGCAAATGACTGTTAAACTGTAACTTCTACACACAACGGAATTTGATTTTCTAAAATATCCAATAAGTAAATCTATTACAGATGCAAGCGAATAAATAAAACATATATATAAATACAAGAAACTATTTAACAACTATTTAAAGTCTTTCAAAAATTGTATGACCTAAAATATGTATGTTTCTTCAATTTTTCATGTATCTTTTCTTACATATTTTGTTACATATATTTTTTCCCTGCTTTCACTTGCAATCTTCTTAAAAAGATCCCACATATTTTATTAAAAGTTAAGCTAAAAATATCTATCAACAAAGTTTTAAAATTCGAAAAATTTAAAGTATAAAGACAGAAGCATATAAAACAGATATTAAGATGATAATATATTTAAAATAACTTAAGGTAGAAAAAACCTTCTACTAAGCGATATCATCTAAAACTCAACCGTCTCTATCACAAGAAAAACAAGTTTTTTTGCCGAGGTGTTTTAACGGTGGCCTTGTTAAATCCCCAAGCGACTGTGAGAAGTTATATAACTTATAGTATCTTCCTCCCTCTTTCATTGGCTTTTGCTACTTTAATTTATAGATAGAACATCATAAAAAACATAAAAATCGTTATTAATGTATCAACATATTCGGTTCAAATTATTAATAATAAATTTAATAATATTTAGCCAGTTATTTTGTGTGAACGCCGAAGATTTAAAAGCTGCGGAATAATTATCACTACCGAAGTTTTCGCTAAAAAGAAGATAGCCTCAAATTTATCGAAGAATACATAACTCTATTTAATGAGTAGAGAGAGTGTACTCATACTTTATGAACCTTATGAAACTCTTGATTAAACTTCAAGTTAAAGTTCAGAGGAA